ATTAGTCCAAAGTGATGCATTGCATTCCTCTCAAGAGTTCGAGGAATACTTCTCTGAGAGGAAGATTGACGCTGACCAATCATCCTTCTATTAATTAGAACAGGAATTACTATATTAAAAACATCCTATAAACACTAACTGCACTTTTTCAATATTCAGTCAAGAATGGCACGCCCAGTGACGAAGAATTAGAGACAATTTCGAAAAGCATCGCTGAGGGCTGGAAGCCACTTGGAAGACGTTTAAATATTACGGAAGCAGAGCTGGTCAAATTTCACAAAAATCATGAAGAATACACCGAAAAGCCATATCAAATGTTGCTTTATTGGAAAGGAAGAGAGGGTGAAAAGCAACCTACAAAAGCAACCTACCTTGTCTTACATGACGCCCTATGTCATCCCTTTGTAGCCCGTAAGGATCTGGCGGACAAAATTTGCCGTCAATTACAGAATTAAATGACTTTTAGTTCTTAATACGAATATATTTTTTGCTATAAGGACAAAAGGATTGACAGTTGTCCACAATTAGTCCATTTGCTTTAATAATGAGTTACTCTTTCAAAAGTAATGGCATTTATACACCAGTTTTTCCTATTTTATTTTTAAGGATTTATGCCAAATGGATCATGACATGGAATCTCATGTTTAGATTTCTTGGTTAAACATTGTTTTTACTTTCGTTGCATTATAAGTCGTGTTTACTGTATCAATTATTCCTATTTTTACATTTCTGTCTAGGGTAAATGATGGAGATTGTTCACAAATATATAGGCCTCATGAGAACACATTAAACTTACAATAAAAGTTATCAATTCGTTCACAGTTTCGAAAACTTCTTTCTACGAAGTACGTTTAGAGTCCGTAATTATTTCAAGAAGTTTATTTTACGAATTATAACTCGCCTAGAAAATCCCTGCCCTCAATTAACATTGATGATAATTCTGATGAGATTGCTCGCACTATAAATGCGATTTTGCTTCATTACCTCCCCCTAATGATGTAATCAAAACAATATAATAACAGCTCTTTAATATAAAACAACACAAATCTATGCTGAGTGGACACTGCGTGTTTACATTAAGGAGTTCTCTGCCTTTCCAGGACTTCTTCGCCGTAAAAAAATTGAGGCGATCATTATAAAGGATGAGTGTCTTTTAAGCCTATGCTTATCTGCTACAGAGTGAATCCAAACCAAGGAGACCCCCCAAGCGATAAATAAGGACCGCTTGCTTACTTAACCTAAGAATGACTGACTTCAATAGGATAAGCTCTGAAAAAAAAATAAATTCCGGCTGAAAATAAAACTCTGCTTTCATAGTGCCACACGAGAGGCGATACGTTATGAAAACAAAAAGCAAATAAAAAAACCAAACATTATAAGAGATACAAAAAGAAACGGGGGAATAGTAACAACTCCCGCTTGTTTCTTCCTCCATCCCCTCCCCCCCCCCTCCCCTACTCACCCCAAGCCACCCCTTCAACACCAGTAAGGTGTTTCTTTCCATTTGAAAAAAATACCTTATTCGTGATTGAGTTATTTAACAATATTATGCAATTTTTCAGTCAGGTCTTTCTATGTGTTTATTGCCACAGCCATAACTTCCTTCCCTCTCGGCAAGGAGAGGATTCCTATGTAAGGTTACATCTAATTAAATTAAGGCGGTCTCGACATTCGTTAATTTGAAACACTCTCGGTCTTTTGGAAATTTTTACAAATTTATTTTTTCTCCTCTTTTAAGAATTATGAGACTTAACAACCGTTTTCAGGTGATATCTGCCCTACTCACGTTATATCAAATGCAGTCGTACTTTCTCAGCGCTCAAACTTTCTAAATCCCTTTTCCTTCGTGACGAGCACCGTCATTTCTTAAGAGTAGAATGCAGCCTGTCCGACTGGCTTCAAAAACCGATCAGCTTTACAGCTAAGCATAAATATCTTGACAGGGTCAACAAGGAAAAATATACTTTATTGTATCTATGCAAGTAGAGAGCGCTCAAATTAAAAGCTTCTTCCGGCCTCGTTTTCATGCTTATTTCCCTTAGCTATTGTACTAAAAATTATTTATGAAGCCCACAGAACCCCATTCCCTGAATGCAAAAGAATCATCACGTTATGAAACAAACGGGAAATTAATATATATCTACAAATTAACAACTTTAATCCATCGGAGAAAGTAACATAAAACCGCTATGAATCTACTTCAGAATGACCTTAGCTATGATTGCATGATTAAAGAATCTGATTAATTATTCTCTGACATTTGCAAATCTGAAACGAAACTGTCTGAGAAGTGTTAACTTTTCGAGTAGTTCCGTCGATTCACGAACTACCTACGAAGTAATATCGTGTGTCTTCACGGTCTTGTTCACAGAGTCAAGTATAGACATTTTCATTTTAAAGAGAAAGTGAAGGTGAGTAAAGAAAGTGGTATATTTTGACTGTAGACGAAAGCGGAAGCGCCAAGCATTATTCCTCCGCTATGATTTGAACCAAGACAAAGCGGGTTATTATCAATTTCAGATGACTAACTTTAGCATAGATAAACGTCCAAGAGCGAAAGCCGTAGATTAAAAACCCTTCAATCCATTTGTTTTCATTTTACACGACACAGGAATGAGCTAAACAACAGTGGACGCTGTGGAGTTAAATCACGCATATGGCTGTATGACTTTGTCTTTGTCAGTTATTTTCAGTACTCCTCGATAGTTCATCTACTCGATCAATTCCCTTCCGAGCCAGTTGAAGTGACGAGTATTTATAATGATTGCAGTTAAAAGATACTGATCCGCTTATTTTAGTCAAGTCTATAGTCAAAACGGCGATAGCTGATACTTGTCCAGACGTAAACAAATACATTGATGTCTTGAAGATAACAAATGGCTAAAACTGTTCGGTAAAGTTATTATGAATTTTATAAAGCAAAGGAGACTAAAAGCTTCTTTAAAATACAGGATCAGTTCGATTTACCATGCAGCTATCCGTGCTTCGATTGTAAGAATCTCAGAAGATCCTTTCAGATATGCTAGCTTCAATATATTTTTCGCTAGGAGAAAGCAATTTTTAATCTAGGCGAGAGCATTACTCGCTCGATGTGATTGCACTGAAGCAAAGCGGCGATTCTACTCAATCCTGAGTGATAACTTTGTCGTGGAGGGACATGCAAGAGCGCGAATTTTTCACTGAGTTCATGGCTTACAACCACTTCTTCCCACTTTTTTAAATGCAAACAACACATGGATGATTTGAACGGTAGGCAATAGAAATTCAGGCTGTGAGAATTAATTTGTTAGTTGTGCTTCGATTCTAAGAATCTTGAAAGATCAAATATGTGATCTCTGACTTACGCTATGAATATCTGTTTTAGTCATGAAGGCAATTTTATCGATTTGCTCTTTCTCTCTCTGTTAAAGGTTATGAATTTGTGAGATAGACATCAAAACGTTTGTTTTCGTACATTCGTACAATCGTTCTTCGGTTCTCGCTACAGAAATGAGATATTAAGTTAATCTTGCGATTTGTTTTGGTAACACTTGCATTGCCCCTAGGGCTTCAAGTTATTATTATAAATATAACTCTTCATAGTTGTAGTAGTTCTGGTCTCTTTTTCTGAAAGGATTTTAAGACATATTACTATTTGTTCATATTTCATGCAGCCTAGGGGAAACGTAACGGCAACATATTTAGTTGACTTGAAATTTCAGTTGACCAAAATTTTGTCATTTCGTCGAGCAGTGTGGATTTGAATAGTTATCCAAGGTTATCATAAC